GGTCTTTATCTCCCCCATCCAGCTCACGCACCGGCGCATCCCCAGTGAGCCCTTATTGCCTCCTGTCATACACACTGTGCGTGCCAGTGCCACGGCCCAGGCGCTGTGCCGTGCCTCACCAGCCTTCACATCCCATTGACTGGAGTTATGGAAGGGTTTTTGACAGGGATAGAAAAGTTTGTATTGCCGCTGCTGCTCTGGCTCATCAGTACCTGTCGGGTGTACCTCACGGACTGCAAGAGCCTACCAGGAAAGCTAATAAGGGCTCCATTTATTTTCTGAGGGAGGAAGAGCCTCAGGATCGGGGATGTTCTTGACTTGTTGCACTCCTGGTGCCATGCCCACAGTGCAGGAAGTGTCCTGGGCAGGAGTGACAGCCTCCCTCCTTCTGCTCTCTGAGCTCGGTGTCTGTCTGGTTTAAGATAAGCACCACACAGCCGTTCAGTCCCAGCCCCTTTGTCTATGGACCACCCCTGTGAAATATCCGTAAAATGCCTGTAAAATGTCCCCTGAGTACTTTTGGTCCATGACTTAGTGGATCCTTCTATAGGACTTGCTACAACATGCACCTCAAATCATGGGTCACAACAGTTTAAAGGCGTATCTATTACATCCACCCCTTGTCCTTCTGACCAATTTAACATCGCAATGAACTCCTGTCCTCACTCAGCTCCAGCCTGGGCTTGTCCATTGGCCACAGTCCCTCAGAGGTGTACCCGCTCTGCCATGGCCTTATCCATTGGTCACAGACCCTTCAGAGGTCCCTTCAGACACCTGCTGTGCTGTGGTCTCCTCCACAGCCACAGCCACCTCAAGGTGTCCTGCTGTGTCCCAATCCACAGACACAGACACCACAAGGTGTACCTGCTATAGCACAGACTTCCCCACCTTACGGGTGCTTCAAGGCTACTTTGCTCTGGAGTGGACTTACCAGTGGCCAGAGAGGCCTCAGGCTGTCTGTGCTCCCATGTGGACACATCCACAGGCCTCAGTCCCTCTGACCTGAGTTCAGGCTGAAGTTCCAGCCTGTGCACAGCAATGCCCTGGCTGTTGGCCAGCCCAGGCGGATGGTCACAGCTGTTACCAAAATGTTCCTGGGCACGGCAAAGCACAGTGATAAGGGGTTAAAAGCAGCCACTAACAAGCACTGGACTCTAACATACAGAACGACAAGCAAGCCCAGCCCTGTGACAAGCACAGGAGCCTGCCAATAGGCAGCTAAACGCCTGTAAATTTGGTCTAGCACACTGCACACTCCTGTCAAATCTGTCATCATCTTGAACCCTTTGGGCCCCACACTGGGTGCCTGAAAGAACTGTGGTGGTTTAGTGCCTCATAAGCAGCTGACCACCACGCAGCTGCTTGCTCTCCCCAGGTGGGATGGGGAGAGAACTGGGAAGGTAAAAGTGCAAGAACTCACGGGCTGAGACAAGGACAGTTTATTAGGAAAAGCAAAAGGCATGTGCACAAGCAAAGCAAACCAAGGAGTTCAGTCGCTGCCTCCCCTTGGCAGGCAGGAGTTCAGGAAAGCAGGCCTCAGCACATAGAATGGTTTCTTGGGAAGCCAAACGCCATCACCCTGAATCCTTCTCCACCCCCTTCCTCCTCCTTTACCCCAGCTTTGTTGCTAAGCATGACACCACATGGTGTGGGCCAGCTGTCCTGGCTGTGTCCCCTCCCAGCTCCTGGTGCACCCCCAGCCCCTTGCTGGTGGGGCAGCACGAGGAGCTGACGAGTCCTTGGCTCTGTGTGAGCACTGCTCTGCAACAACTGAAACATCAGTGTTATCACCACTATCTCCATCAAAATCCCAAACACCACATAATGTGAGTCTCTGTGAAGAAAATTAACTCCATCCCAGCCAAAGCCATGACAGTGGTGTACCCATCCTAGCAGCAGCTGTATTTCCAAGGACAAACTCTCTTTGTTACTTCCACCCATGCCTCTTTTGCTGTGATGGCCAACGACTGTAAAGTTTGGATGGAAAATCTTTTATGTTATGATTGCCAGTTCATGAGGAAAAGCTACTGAGCGGTCACAAAGCAGTAACAGTAGTCAGTTTCCATCAGCAACCCTCCTGTTGAGAGGCGAGATTAACTGGAAGTGCTAGGCCGTCCTTGCTTGGCTGAATACAAACAACACATAGGATTCGTATAACAGCCACAATGATTCTCCAGTGGTATTAATTGGCATTTTTGTGTCTGTAATGAATAGCACCATAGGGATGCTGATAAACCTGTGCCCGTAGTGCTGTACAAGACATCCTGCAGAAGCACGGGATGCAAATGGTGGAGAACCATGCAATGCATCCTCTGACATCGTGCATGGCAGTCGCTATTTATCATCATGGGATTAGCACTTTCTCCACTGAAGGGGCAGGACATGAGCAGCCTTTTTTAAGGCAGCCTCATGCTCGTGATACTCTTTGTTCTCTGTGGTTGTTACTCATTCTTCTTTGTTGTCTGTTCGCTACGGAGCAGAATCTCCCCAGCAAGGTGGAGTGCCAATGTATTGGGGCATTGTGCAAATACAACGGGTAAACAACACTCCTTGCATTGAAGAGCTTGTAGTCAAAATAGCCAAGACAAAGCGTGAAAGCATGGGGAGTATTTGAAATCTGAAGTTATTTTCTTCCCTTTTGTACTTACCAAATGCAGTTTCAGTCTGGCCGCACAGATTTTCCCACCCACCTCTCCTAACAATCATGTATTTCAAGAGAAGTGAAATTATCATGTTCCTGCTAGAAAAGAAAGGCCTTTCATGTCATTTTCTAACCCTTTGAAACAAGCCATGGAGCTTGGTTTAGAGCACAGTGGCTCTGAGGGATCATTTTTCCCTGGTCTGACAACGCACTAGCCATGTTGACATGTCACACAAGGACAGACGTGTTCCTGCCAGACAGCTTCACATTGCTGGATAACCTCAGTGACATGTTAAAACACGGAGGGTTTGTGGTTTCTGGTCAAACAACTCGATTTTTGAGTACGGGATTCTGGGAGAGAGGCTCCCATTCCTCCTGCTCTGCGCTTCAAAGTGGTACAGGACATCTCTGAAGACAGCTGCAGAGCCTGGGGTCTCACAAGGCTCTAGCAAAGTCCATGGCACTGATCGCAGGCTAATTGGGTGCCGAGGTGAGGTAATAAGGCAGTCTTTATTTATACAGGCGCAGTATCTACCACAGCAGCTGTCTGGTCCAGACTGGTACCCCGTGGCATTATCGTAATGCGAATGTTTATGAGCAGTGCTCGGCGGGCCATCTGGCAGCCATACATAGCATTAGGGGAGGCACCCCAAGCTCCCATATCCCCTGTCCTTTGCAACAGAGAGTGTCTGCAAGTGGCAAATGGCAAACACAACGGAGGAGAAATGAGAGTGCAAATAGACAAGGGAGGCAGCGGTCAGAAGAGGGAACAGAGAGGGATGTGGCAGCGGGCTCACAGCTCGTCCATGACAGAGATTTGCACGGAGATCCTAGGCCTGTAGGGTGTGCCTACTAAATAAGGGAGATGGGTGTGGTAGGAAGGCCAAACATTTTTGGTGGTATATGTGTTTGTACAAATGCCCCCAGTTTCTATGCCTAGTTCCAGGAGAATTTACCGCAGAGTCTTACCCGTGCCTTCAAAGGGGAGTGTAAAATCCATTTCTCCGATGTAACTGCAACTGAAAAGAGCAAAGCAGCAGAGAAACAAAAGGAGAAGAGGTGCAGGAGAGAAGCAGGAGCAGGGGCAGGAAGGGGTAAAGGAGGCGAAGGTACCAGAAGAAAACAGCTTGTTGCTCTTTTCAGAGGCAGAGCATGAATTCATTTGGGGATTTCACTACCTTAGGGCAGGACCAAGAAGACTAGGCCACTCCTCACCAGCAGCCTTTAGCAAACAGAGGTCTGACGGGACATGCTGTACAGGTAACACACACAGCACGCTATTATTTGTGCACGAACAGTATGTGTGTTACCCTACCACCAGTCCTTAGGCCGCCATTTGTGCCGAGGGCCTTCCGTCAGTTGAAGGAGGCCTACATGGGGAGGAATTAGAGAAGAAAAAATAAGGAACCAACTTCGTGTTTACTGCGGTTGTTATCTCCTGAGATAGGTGCACAGAGTCTGTAGCTATCCATTATTTGGTGTGTAGGTGGCAGCCGTGACATTTCAGGAGCCCGGAGTTTAACTGTGTTGAAGCTGGAGGCCAAAGAGCAAAATTAGACTCGTCTGGATGGGCTAAGGTTCAGCCTCATCTGATGCGTGTGGCTTTCCAAAACTCTTACAGCTTGACAGAGTTATGAAGCCTGTCCTGGCAGTGCTCTCAGGAAGGAATGAAATATTGCTGTGGAGATGGAAAACAAGGACAGGATGCTTTGAAGATTTCCCCAGTACTGCAGAGGGCATCTAGATTGGGGCTGGAGTCAGGCAGAGGGTAGAATCCAAATTTTGTGAGGTATTTATGGTTTCGAGAAGTGGCATTTCAAAAGGGCAAGTAGAGTGGAACATTTAAGATTTTGATGGAAAAAAAAGTCTGAAAAAAAAACTCTCCAAGGCATTTCAAGTGTATGTTTCAACAAAGCCAGAATGTCAAGTATTTTGTAATATTTTCCTTTATAAAATCCATCACTGAAAAACTGAATTTAAACAAAAATTTGATCCTTTTTCCTCCAAAAAAATATTATTGAAACATGACGATTCACTCCATATTTGTGTAAAGCAAAATTCCAGCAAAATCAATGGTTTCGTGAAGCATTCTGGTTCCCGAGGGAGTGCTCATAATGACAAAAAACGCTACAGTTAAGGTTTCTTTGTACAGCATCAGATCAATATTTGAGGCACTGGTGGCACTCGGTTCATTCCCCATGGCTAGACTAAGCCCCTTTCTGTGCGAACTGCCTTCCCTTAGGTATTTCCCTACTGACTGCACCAACCCTCGGCAGCCTGGAAAGCGGTCTGTCTGTCGCTCTTCTAACTTCTCTCTCTTTTTTTCCTCCCTCCCTCTCCCCTTCCCGCTCTCCTCCAGGAACCTTCTGCATCATTTCACTGTGCACGTGCGTGGCTGGAATCAACTTTGAGCTCTCCCGTTACCCCCGCTACCTGTACGGACTGCCCGACGACATCAGCCACGGCTATGGCTGGTCCATGTTCTGTGCGTGGGGGGGCCTGGGCCTCACTCTTATCTCTGGCTTCTTCTGCACCCTGGCCCCTTCCGTCCAACCTGTCCCCAGGACCAACTGCCCCAAATCTAGACCTGAGAATGGGACAGTGTGCTAAAACAAATAGCAAACAAATACACACACACACACACACAGGTATATATATATATATGTCCATGTATACCGATACATGCGTATATATGTATATATAATTATATATATATATATAATCTCAAATTAACGCCAGTGCCAAGGTAGAGCTGAGTCCAACACGGCACTCACATCTCCACCGGACTCTGTGTTGCTTCGTTCTTTCTCACAGAGGTGGGAAAGCTTTTCTCTCACGTGGCTCTTCCATCCAACTCCTAACTTCAGCACCATACCTTAGAGGCCGAACGAACTTACTGTCGCACCTACCAGCTGCCACCCGGGAAGGGGGAGAGGGGGTCCGTGGGGGGATCTGGAAGCAGATTCTGCACGGGACATGGAGGGTGGGGGGGACAGAAGGCCTGTGCATTGCAGCCAGAAAGGAAAACGCAAACAGAAAGCAAAGAAACAAATCAAGCATTTGAGCCACCTCAACGATGTACCTCCTCAAGGCCATTGTCAGAAACCCACCCACTTTCTTTTTCTTTCTGAAAACAAAATGACAGAAGCCTACCCTGTTGGTTTTCTTTCTTTTTTCTTTTTTATTTCTTTTTTTTTCCTTTTCTTGTTTTGGGGATCTCTTTTTTTTTTTTTTTCTTCACTTACAACACAGAAAACAAAATGGACAGAAGATGTGGGGAAAAGCAAAAAAAGCGTTTTCTCTTTCCTGCCAAACTTTAGAAAGAAGCAAGCAGATGAAAATAATAATAATAATAATTTTAAAACAGGATATTATGAAATAAAAACAGAAAACAAACAACAACAACAACAACAAACATGAGGACATCTCAGCGGACTCTCCAACAACACGGTTTTAATCTTCCAGCTGCCTTACATCCAGGCTTACAACTGAGGCTGAACTGCTAATGCAAACGCAGTCGAAGGCCTTCTGAAAATGCTGTGATACATGTGTGTATAACTTTTTCTTCCCTCTTCTTCTTTTATTTATTTATTTTTAAGAAAAAAAAAATTTAAAACATTGCAGTGTGATTGTCCACTACACCATCCATGCTGTGTTTGTGGCCCAAGACTGAGGCAACCGCAGAAGCGCGAGGAAAGCCGTCAGGTCTGAGGCAGCGTGGCTCCTCCGGAGGATTTCTGGATGGTTTTGGCTTTTCACGGAGCATCTGAGAGTTCAGGATGGCGGATGCAAGGGAAGACTGACCAGGGAGAAGGGAGGTGGGGGGAGCTGTGGCAAGTGTTCCTCCCAGTTATCTACTGGATTGGGATTTTGTTGAGTTTCCGTTTTGGATGTTTGAGCAAACTGGGCAAAAGCCATTGCCGAGGAGAAAAGGGGAGCTAATGTCTGTAAGGGAGAAGTAAGAGACGCCTCTTGCTGTGTTCATGTATGCCAAATGAGACGTTCCCACATCTTGTCTTTGCTAAACCACCCCAGTTCACTGGACATCTCCGCTCTCCATCTGGGGGAACTGTGTACAGATGAAAGGAAAGGGTCAGATGCAGAGAACGGAGATCCATTTCCCATGAGCTCAAGCTTCGTATGATATAATTGTGAATCCGCAAATGGGACTCTCTCTCTCTCTATCTCTTTTGGTCTTTCTCTTTTTCCCTATGCTCCTATTCCCATTGCCTCCTTTTCCCTTTGCTCTGCTCTTCCCATCCCTCAGGCCACAGATCCCAGAAGAGCTAACTGAACGGATAAAGGCGATGAGAGCCTTTGGGGGAAGCAAAGCATCTTGGCTGCAAGGGCAGCAGCTCTGTGCAGGGGAGCTGTGGCTGAGGGGAAGGTGGTGTAGGGCCAGAGGGAGCTGGGAGAGGTGACTACGGGGTGGCCGTGTGCAGGAGCAGTGGCACCACCGACAAATGCAAAGGGAGGCAGGGCAAAGCAAAAAAATCCCCCTCCCAACCAACCCGACCCAACATGCTCTTAATTCAGGGATAGTTCCAGCAATCCTTTCTTACCCATGATAACTGCATGCCATCAGTCCTCGTTAGTCAATAAAAAGCAGCCCCTGAATCTACAAAAACTCACCGGGAGAAGGAGGCAACCAGTTGAAACTGTGCCTGCTGCACAGAAATAAAGGCATTAATCTCCAGATCATGCTATTTACACAGCTGGCAAGAAACAGCATTTTGCCTTGTTAAAAAAAATAAAATAAAATCCAACCAACAACTGATTGTCATGCAGCCCAGTCGCATAGCCAGCCATTCCCCTTCCTGGCCTGCTTCCCCTCCCTGTTACACCTTGTGTGATGATGTTGCTTTATTAACGGTGCCCGAAGAAATCAAGTTTCTGAAGGGCATTTTGGAGTAGGCAAGATTTGGTTTTCTTGCACTCTTGCCCAGCTACTTAGCTTTTCTCTTCTCTGGTTTGCAAATTCCTGAGACACACCAATGCCAGCTGCCAAGGCAGTGTGTTGCCACTGAAATGCCACTCCTGGCAAGCAAAGTTTGGTCATTTCATTCTCCATTAGATCTGACTGGAGAAACTAAGTATTTATTCATGTCGAAAATGTAAGCTTTTTGAAGAAACTTTCTCTTAAAGTAGATTGGATTTTTTTTTTCTTGGCTGTGTTTTCAAACAGAGTGGCTTTGGGAAGCTTTGAAACCGAATAAGCAAGTGCCCACTAGGCAAGGAGGCTGATGAGTTACCATTGGGCAGAAGGCAATTAAAGCTCAAAACAGCTCTTGGAAAGCTAAATTACAACTGAATGCAGAAAACCAAACATTGAATACCAAAAGGGACCTGTAAAAATATTTGTGAAAAAATTCAAAATATGAACAATTTTGAGGAAAAAAAAAATCTCACAAAGGTGTTAATGCTTTAGAAAACTGGTAATTGATTAAAACATCTTTGAACACAAACTTTCCTCCTCCTCTGTAGTTATGAGTGTGTTAGGGAAGCTCTTTCGTGTGAATACTGATACCTGGAGTGACCTGGGTGAAGGGCACGGAGGTTTCTAGCTGGTGTCCACCATCCAGCCCTGTGGCATGGGAAGCAGTACGAGAGCTGCTGTGACAAGGTGCAGCCTGGTGTGACCCCTGAGCATGCACAGGGTGTGCTCTCTTGCAGGAGGAGTTTGGAAGGAGGTATAGCAGTGAGATTTAAAGCAATGGAAGGCATTTTGCTGCTTCATGGCCTCTCACATCTTCTTTCTGCGGCTGGCATGGAGGCAGTTCTGCCTCGATGAAGTGTTCTCGGAAGGTGTTGGTTGGTTTACAAGCTGTATTTGAGCTGAGTGCTGGTCTGTGCGTGGCGATGGTGGAAGAAAGACAGGTTTATTTTTCCTTACAGCAGAGAAGTGTTAACCCTGGATCTTTAGGCCAGGTCTGGGATTTTCCACTCGCTATAGCACAGGCTCCCTGAGGCCTGTGTGAGTATGAACTGTGTTAAAAACTGTGGGTGTAAGTGCCTGAAGCAGCAGGTGAATGCATAACCTTAATCTCAAGCTGGATCCCTAAAGGACCATTTGTCCAAGCACCAGTTGTCTCATCTTTGCAGGGCTGACTCAAAAGACATCCAGATCCAGATTTGTGACAGTTCGTGTCTCCTTCCCTCCTGAGCCAAAGCACACTCCCGTCTAGTCTGAATTTCTGCATTTTGGGGAGGCTTTGAAATGTCCTTCTAAGCAGAGATTCAAGCTTTCTGACTAGTGTCTGGTTTTCTAGTTTGAGCAGTAGTTAGAGGTCTGTCAGCTGTGGTCCCCACATTAAGGGGCTTGACCCAGTCTCTCTGGCCTGCCCGGGCGTGGTGTTTAAGCATGTGCTTTACTTCAAGCATGTGACTGCTCCCATTCACTTCGGTAGACTATTCATATGCTTAAAGTTAAGAATGTGCTTTGCTGGGCGATGTTCAGCTTCCCGCAGAGTCCAGCCTCGTCCTTGTTTCCCTACCCTGTCCTTGTGGCTGATGTGACGCCCTTGCCCTAGCCCGACGTGTCAGCGGGTGCTCGGACTCCCTCTCTCCGACAGGAGCGGTTCTTGTACTCCAGCTTTCCTACAGGGGCTGTCCCGGGATGGCAGGGAGTTAGCTACAAGGGCTTCTGCTGCCCGTTCCTGCACTGTGTAGGTGAGGGGGCTACGTGGCAGGAGTCCGTGTGCTCTGTATCTTCTGGACTGTGTAGGACACCTTCTTCAAGCTAAAGCTGTTTGCGTGTTGAAATTCCTGACTCATGCTGGCCGCCTGTATATATCATCTCAGCCTTCTCCTTCTCTGCAAACACACAACTGATCTTCCCTGATCTGAAGAGAATAGTACTTCGAGTTATATTTCTAGTTGGGCTTTCTTTTTCTTTCTATGCTACCCCAGGGACAGTCACAAGTGGATCACAAGCCACCAGTGACCAAGAGCAATTTCTTTGAATTACTGCTTTTGAAAAAATGTCATTACTTTTGAAAATGTTATGCCAGCTACAGTAACAAATGAAAGGAAAAAGAAAACCAAAAAACCCTCAGAGTCCTCTAAGCAGAGGATCCTGTCCTCCCAGGAGAGACCTGCGAGAGTGCAGGTATTCTGCTTTCCTGCAGACGCGAGCCATGTGGGAGCACTTTTACCTGTGGCACGTTCGCTGTGTGGTTCATCAGGTGATGAATAAAACAGCACCGGCAAGGGAGAGGATTGATATGCAGGGGATATCTCAGATTCCCAAGTGTTCCTGGAAGCCTGTCTCCCCATGGCTGTCCATTTACCCACCATGCAGCACCTCCGAACCAGGCTCATCCCTGGAGCCCCACTGATAAGCAGAGCTCAGAAGAAAATCACTGTAATCTGTCCTTAATTCTTGAGTGCCAAGCCAACTGCCAGGAGTGAAATGGAGAGGAAATAATATGTTACCAAGTATAGCTTAAATAAAAACATGCATTATTCAGGCTCTTTCTTCTTTGTGTCTCTACATAGGCGCAGAAGGGCTATAGGGGAGCTCAGGCACATTCCCACAAAGCAGCCCCGTGTATCAACACTGCATTTCCTTGCTCCCAGGTTTTGCATGGCTTCCATGGCCCAATCCTGTTGTGCTCATCCAGTCAGCAAGGGAAGACTCAAGGTGAAAAGCTGAGACAGTGCTGAAGGATTGCCAGGCACCACGGACAGACAAGGAGCAAAAAGTGTGCATGAGGCACGTAAAGGTTAGTGATGAGTGAATATCCAAGGTCAGGGGCTAAGTTTCAAAGTAACCTGATTTTGTTGCTGACTTCAGGCTCTCCATAAGATCTTGATTCTGCCAGTCTGAGCTGGAAAGCTCATAAAAACAGGGCTTAACTCCACACTTAGAGCCCCCCATTTCCAGTAACAGCCAGGAATATAATGCATCTGATTCATATTCTGTAGAAGCCCATAGAAAGCTTCACCTTGGCTCCAGTGAGTTTTGGATCAGGTGCCTCAACAAATACCTTAGTGCTGTCCTGGTTAGCACTGAAAATGAAATGCGTGCTCACACACATGGACATCTAACGTTTAGCTTTAGGAAGAAACCAGTTTGTTTTGTTTTGTGATTTATGGTCTCCATCCTGTCTGCCTCACTGTCTCCCAGAATCACTAATACCCCAATCCTACAGCTTTCTTCAGAGCCATAGCTAGAGATTGTAATGCTTTTTAGGACAAAGAACCTACTGCTGGTGCCAGTGGGCTCTGACAAGCTTCCTGTTGACATCAGTGGGAGAACTGGAGCCTGATACAATGCTGTCAATTTAACTGCAGTGTGCCTTGCACATATTTAGGATATAACCTGGAGAAAGAGACTGGACGACTGCCTCAGTATAGGCCCCAAGAGGGAAATGAAATGCTGGTCCCCTTAAGTAAAGCACTCCAGAATCACAGATCAATTGTCCTTCCTTGCTCAGGGAAGACTGGCAGTGAAAATAACTGAGACTCAGATAGGTTATCTCCAGAGGAAGGTAGGGAGGGAAAAAAAAGGAAACCAGTTGCTGTAAGTCAGACCTGATGGGCATTGGCTGAGTTACACAAGGACGATCCGATGTCACCCACAGCATCAACAGCCTGAATTGCCAGTCCCTGCCCTGCCAGGGCAGGGACTTGTGTATTTTTCTTTTACTGATTAACACTCCTGCAGTGGCAGAAAACAACTTCAAAAGTTTTCTAGTGTAGGGTGTATATACAAAGACACCTTCACTCCCCTCTTCCTTAGGCACACACACACATACATACCCCGCATGATGTGGGTGCTAGTAACCTGTAAATACGTGTACTATATGGAGAGGAAATACATTGCAAAATGCAGCATAATACTTTGTTTTCTATTCTTTTGTACTTAACTCAGGAGTTGCAATGCAATTCAGGTGTTAGGTTGTGTGTGCAGATCACACAGAAGCTATCTGCTAAAGAGAAGTGGGGAGGCACCATCCAGCTGGGATGAACTGGATATTCACCACTAGCCTGTGTTTGGATATTTAGGAAAGAGTTGCCAATGTTGTTCTGATCCCAGAGGTGCAGGGAAAGGAAGCAGCTGAGACACGCATATGTCTTTCTTTCTGCCTGCTTTGCCTTTGGACAGATACATCCAGCAAAAGGAGGGGCAGGGAACAACAGCTCAGGGCAGTAACATCCTGAAACATCGCAGCAAGACTCTCCAGAGCTGACCATCAGTGCTCTTAAATATGGGGTTTCTACAGACCTACTTCTGTATCCAGCCAGTCCTGAGCTAGCAATTCTACCTCCGAAAATGCAGTTGTGCCCACAAGTCCTTACTACCTTCTAGTGCCACAGACCTTGGCAGTAAACACTGCTGGTGTGGTACAAGTGGGATTTGCTTTCTGAACTGTAAGGCTACAGGAAAATAAAATCAAAATCCCACCAGGAGAGCCTTGGTATTTGCAAGATTGGCTCTTGCAACCCACTGTTGCAAGATGTTTCTCTAAAACAGATGGTCAGTGTTCACATTAGTCACAAGAGAAAAAAGTGCACCATATCACCTCCAACTCAGAAAAGTTTGCAGTCCCCTAAGGTAGAAATCCTGCTGTACTGAGAGGCAGCGCCGTGCCGCCTGAGTCTTACTTCTGTCCTCTGCAGAGGGCTCGTGCAGGCTGCTGGCAGCACCACGACCGCAGGTAATGCTGCCCAGTGCAGCAGGGAGCTTCACATCCCCGTGGCTCCGTGCCCTACCTGCGGCAATGGAGCACAGGAATAGCGCTGCAAAGGCAATTCCTTTCAAGTGGCCTTGTTGTTTTGCCAGCTGGTCGGAAATTCCCAAGCAGCAACAGCAATTCTGGAAGAGTCACGTCTTCAAAAAGCTGTGTGGCATGCAGCTTTCACTCCAGTTTCAAACCGATGTAGACACCAAGGAGCATCAATCAGACTGGGGTCAGTCTCCTGGGGTCTGGCGCACAAAAGAGCCACAGCCTCCAATTCCTGTTCAGGCAGTGATTAGGAGTAAAACACTAAATGCTCCTGGTGCTGATACAATTAAAAAGACAAAACAAAACAACAACAACAACAACAAAAAAACACCCAACACACAAGCTCCTGATTTGCTTAAGCTCTTGCAATATTTTATCTCAAGAATAGTCTTCATCCGTCTGAAGCATAACGCCACAGTTTTTTGTGAAGGATTTTTCATTAACGATATAGATCATAAGAAAAAAGTTCAAGTAGTCATAACAACAAAATAAAAGTGCAGCCTTAGACTATTCGGTAAGAGGGTACTGAATTATTTATAACTCCTGGGCACCGACAACAATCACAGACATCTAATTTAAACTGTTACTATTTTTACTTGGCAATTTCCATCACTTAACGTGTTTATATTCATGTATTTGTAGTTTGATCTTGTGCAGGACAAAACTTCCCCGACTTACGTAAAAATGCCTATTTGGGGACTTTTGAAGATATTTTTCTGCAGTAACTTAAATTATTTTAAAGCATTTTGTGACCTTGTATGGCAGAGGTTACAACTTCGAAAGCTGTAAACTGTCCCTAAAATGGGCTTGAACTTGCAGTTCCTTCTCAAGTAAAATCCCCTTTGATTACAGGTAATTGGAATCAATGAGAAGTTTGTTTCATTCAAACTGTAAGACTGGGTCCTACCTATGTGTAGATGTGGTGGGAGACTTAGGCTAGGGGGGCTATATTTGTATGTCAGCCCGCTGCAGGATCTTTTGCATAGACGCAGGAACAGTCACTACTAAGTCACTCCTACTTTATACCAATCTCTTTTTGTAAAAATAAAAAAAACAAACACAACCATTATACTCATGTGTGGCTGGAATAATGCAGTGGTAATTGTAGCCCATAGGCTGATGCAGATATACATGTATATATGTATATATATGTATACATCTTTGTAAATTTATGAAAAATGTCCATAGATTCATGACTGCCTGAAGGAACCTGAAGTCAATGTACAGAATTTCAGGCAGAGGACTGTTTCTTTTTCACAATCCTCATGTATCTCAGATTCAAATCAAAACAAAGGAAAAAGTATTATTTCCCAGGAAAACCCTGATTCTGCCATTGCACCAGTCTAGGAGGGGCATCTCGCTAGTCAGTGGTATGCACACCCATACACATATATCCAGTCGCAGGACTGGGTCTCAAGGGCTTCTCTAAGGAAGAGAAATGGACTTTAAAAGCCATGGCAGAATTTCTGTTCCACATCAGCTCTCTAAGACTCAGTTATCCTCTACCAAGAAGTCCTTTGTACAGATGCTCTTCTTCTGCACATAGGTGTATGTCTGTGAGGAGGATCTCCGTGGATGAAGTCAAATTACACAAAGGCCTGGATTTTCTGACCTGAATCCATCCCCATTAACCTTAGGCACTTAATTGAGCTGTTGGTGTTGATGGTCTTGTCTGCCTTGGTTTCTTGTATAGTTAATGAAGGGAGACAGTTGCCTCTAGGTGGTAACTGAGAACTGAGATCTGACCCAGTTTTGGAGTTCCTTCTCCCCCCATGGAGTGACCACTCCCCTATTTTAAAAGATCTTAAATCCCAGTGGGATGACCCAAGGACCTTGTGCAGAAGAACATCCATAAGGAGATCAGTTGTGGTGCTCACCATGCACCATGCAGCAAAAGGAGATGTTCACAGCAGCCTTCTCCACCCCAAACTGTAACATGGCTGCAAAGGATAGGGCTTGCTCCAGTCTTTGGAAACTGCATTTGTAGCGGGTTCCTTATGGTGGCCTCCAGTTGTAGACCACTGCATAGTCCCAATGTTGGAGGTCAGAGACCTTTGGTCTGAACTCTTCACCATTCCCTGCCAGTTTGGGCATTACTGAACCAGTGCAATGAGTGAATTTACATCCTAAAAGTTTGAAAATCTAAGCTGCTCAGAGATTACTTTCTTGCTCCATCTCCAAACTAGCCTGGAAAATGTCATCTAGTTGGTAGTGAGCATCAAAAAAAAATCCCCTCCAAGGTACAGTTTGGGTATTTTATTTTTTTCAATGTTAACAACTGCTTTACAAACAGCTTACATGGAGCTTAAAGAGATTGCAATTTCATCCCTTATTGTTGGGATTATAGTTGTCCTCAAAAAAACTGAACCAGGGACTCAACAAGAGAATGAACTGTGACTGTATTATTCAGAAAGCTGCTCTGACAAGGCTGAACATGCGTCTCCATCTCATGGTGGGAGTCTCTCAGAGCTGAAATCTGGAATCACGTATTGACACCAAGTTGGAAAGACCAGCAAGTTAATCCAGTATAAGAACTTTGTGGTGCTTGCATATTCCCATATTTTACCTGAATAGAATAAACACAGTCAGGGGAATGGAGAAATTAAACCCATTTCTGAGAACTCCAGGGCTGAGTGAACTTTGGCTGTGGTGGCAACAGATGGTCACTACTATTTATTTCCACAGCTAAAGTGAAGTCAGGAACTTGACAATGCTCACCCATCTCTCAGAATGAATTTATTTTTTGAAATACTGTTAGGGTTATGGTGAGAAGAACTTCAGATGGCCTGCAGGGACCTACAAAGTAAATATTCAATATTGTGTACCAATACTTAGGGAGAGACTTCAGCAAGAAAGTGGGAGATAAAACTGAGTTCCAGGGATCAAAAGATATTTTTCAGCACAGTACCTCCTTGTCTAATCTGTACTGTTTCATCCTGACGTTCCTCTCCTGTTCTCCCTTTCCCTCTTTTGAGGAGTCAGATGTGTATATCTCTCTTTCTCCCTTTTCCTCTCTGTGTGAGAATATAGAGATGCTTCCTGTAAAGACGTTTATCTCTAAATCCCATTCCGTACCGACTCTTGCATATGTGACTGTTTTGTTATTTGAGATGTCTGTGAAAAAGAAATAAAGGCTTTAAGAGTGAACTCTGGAAATGAGGAGAAGCTTGAGAATAAATCAAATTTAAGGATTCAGCACCATTTTCTTCATGACTTTTGAGAACGGTCACAAAATTTCATTGTCTTCCTCTCCCTCTCTCTCTGTGAGAGGGATGGGGATGGTCCTGGGATGTGGGACTCAGAGGTTGCTGTAGAGTTCACTGGGTCCCATGAGGGTTTTGCAGACTTTATGGAGGGTTAATGTCAAAGAAAACCTCCTTTTCAAAGGCAGTGACGGCCCTGTGCAACATCAGTTGGGAGGGAGGCTCTGTGGGGTGATTCTGTCCCAGTTTACCTTTCTTTGCTGTTCTTTACCATAGCCCTGTGCATCCAGCCATGTGCACCACCCCCAGTGCTGCATTCTCCACACTGCATTTGGATTACATTCTTGGAGAATGCTCTACCTTCTCTTTAAAAAAAAAATTAAAAAACTTCACCTCTGAATGAAAGCCATAATCGGTCCTGTGACCCTGCAGCAGGGGGTGAGCACACGGCCTCCAGTGGGATGGCCGCAAGGCCTTGGCACTGGGGTGATCCCAGCGGTGGGCAGGAGAGTGGGCCCAGCACACGTGGCCGTCTCACACCGGGGCAGTAAAGCATCCCACCCTGTTTCATGAACCATTTGGCCACTTCAGCTCTGTGGGGCCGACTCCTCGCTGTCTCACACCTGTGCCACCACACGGTCCTACAGCCATGGAGAAGCACAGCTGTGTGAAGGCCCGGACTTTCTGCACAGGCCTCAGATCAGACTCCATCCGCAGCTGGTGCATCTCACATTTAGAGTTTCTTCTGCCACAGTACACAACCTACCAACTGACCAAACATTTTTGGAGGGTTCCCCTTCTGTGACTCCCTTGTCAGACCTCTGTTCCTTAAGGAAAAACATCTTTCTGCTGAGAGGCACTGAAACAAGTCCCAGAACCTCTCCTTCCTTCAGTGATGACAAAAGTTGCAGTCACCACTTTCTCTAACTGACAGTCTGGGAGACTTAGCATAATAATTCACTTAAATGCCTGCAAACTGAATCATGTCAGCACTTCTCTAGGGCATTCCCAAGTGAAATGATATGACTGGTACAAGACATTTGTCATGTGAATGCATCTTGGCCAGATGTTTATGTTTCCTCTAAGTGCAATACATACGTATCAAAGCTGGATTAGAAAAGACCTAGAATGCCACACAACTCAGGCTTATTCAGAGAAATGCACTGATAGGTTGCATTTTCCTGGCATATTTTCTCTTCAGAAAATTTTACAAATACAAGTCACACCAGGCCTCTCAGAGGCAGGTAGGTGTTACAGCCATTTTAGAGGTAGGGAACCAAAAGCCGGGGAAAAGACCTGATGTTTAGCGGTTTTTTGCACCCTCACAACTTCCATTAGCTGCAGGTGGGCCTTCTGTTTTCAGCACTTTTGACAATCCAGACTGTAGCTGGTTTATCCAAATCTGCAGTGGCTGTAAATGTGGAAGCTAGGATTAGGACGCTCGGGAGATCCCGACTTCATCAGAGCACTGCTACAAAGCTTTGATCCCACAAAGCATGTAAGCACTTGCCTAATTTCAAGCATGAATGTCCCATTAATGATACTATCACCATGCTTAAAGCTAGGCACATGCCTAATTGCTTTGCTAGACTGGGAATTACATTAAAATGTACTAAACTTTAGAGTCTTTGGAAATTCCCAAAATGTGTTCATTTCTGATAATGTTTCAGGCATTGTCAAGGACATTTGAACTGTATATGCAGTGCAATCTGTCTGAAGTAGCTCAACCAAGAGGACCACCTTTAGCCAACAAGCAAAGAGTTTAATGTGTTTGGGACAGTAGCATCCAGCTGTCGGAAGTAATCGAGGGTGGCATGTACTGCAGGAGTCTCCCTTCTGCACTGCTGCAAGAGGCAATGTGGCTCCTGTGGCCATTGGTGCTAACAAAAACTTAACAGCAAATGATTACTGCATTAGGCTGTTCTGGTAAAATGCGATTGTGTTGGCTAATTTCACAAGGAATGCTACATCTTATCAAATGTATTGTACTCTCCATTTCTTCCTGTAAATTATTGCAGAAGAGATGAACAGAAGTTGTTTAAACATGACACAAACCCAAAATTCTTGCTCCGTTAATCCAAGGTGCTAATCTGCAGACACGCGGGCATTTGCATATGTGCATTGGTGTTTGCAGGACCGTGGCCCTGAAGGATAACTAATTTTATAGCAGGGTTGAGGTCAGGGAACTAACACGGGGAATTGACAAAGCCTGTGACTTTGAAATGGCAAAAGTTGCAGAAAGCGTCACAGGACTTTGCCAAAAAACTGGCTGCATCTTACGATTTTCCTTTTGTTTTGATTTTGTTTGGTTGGTTTCGTTTTTTATCCAAATTGGCAAAGAATACTGTATTTCCATCGATAAAATCTCGTCTGGTAACTAACTAAACAACCTGTTCATGGAAAATTAAAAAAAAATAAATAAGTAAACTGTCAATTGTGGAATGTAAACTGACTAAATAAATAAAAAAATCATGTTGTGTGTTTTAAGCGGCTGTGTCTGCTTGTGTTTGGAGGGGACCAGCCACCTCTTGCCATGCCTCCCCCCAATGAAGGACAAAGAACAGAGCAGGAAGGTGGGGGGCTCGTGTGGTGTGGGGCACAGACAATAATGATTTGATGTCTTCTGGTCAGAAACACAGTATGACACTGTGAACCACAGCTTTGGGAAACCTGGCAGGCACAGCACTGTGCTGGTAATCTTGTATCCTCCTTGCACTTGTGCAGCAATAATGAGTCAGGTGCACATTTCTATGCAGTTTTGAGTGTAAAACTACTCAGGTGTCCCAGGTTAAATGGCCAAAGATCAGGGTATTCAGAGCATGTAAGGGTGTAAAACTATCCCAGATGGGGAATGGACAAAAGTGCTTTCAACTATCATAGCAGAGGGAAAGCAAAAGAGTAGATCAAATGGAGAAGTACAACTTTTTAATTTTTTAAACAATGAGTTTTAAATTAATTAACCTAAAATTAAACTGTTGCCAAAAAAAAACAAAAAAAAAATAGGCAGGCAAAAGATTTTTAAGATGTGTTTATTTTATTGGATGCAGTATTAAATATTGAGATTGTATGTGTTGGGTGTTTTGACCTGACAGCCAAATATAAGGATGCACCTAAAGCATCCTACCAGGTGGCATGCTTTTCTACCTGATAGTTCTTTCTGAGCTGAATAGGTTTTAGCAAGAGATTTTGGGTGGTTGTGACAAAAAACAATACCCTGCATTTTGTAAGATGGAGTCCTTCCCACCACCAGGGAGGTACTGTCACCAGTACCAACTGCAACGAGGAACTGAATGAAGGGCACAAATTACGGAGCATAAAAAGAGCATAAAAAGCATAAAGGAACATAAAAATCTTCAGTCAAAAATCTCTCTAGTACTGGCATGAATTCCTCTAGCTTTTCCCATTAGTGGCTGGGGAAGTGAGAAATCAGTTCAACAGCGGTGGTGATGGAGGGAACTCAGAAGATGGAGGATGAACCTGTTTTTGCCATGCTTTGAGAGAGCCAGAACTCGCAACCTGCCTGCTCCTGTACATAAACCCTGTGGGGCTGAACAGAGCAGCAAGGGGAAAGAGCCAGTCAGTGGGTGTAGAAATGGCAAACCTGAAAGGCAAACAAAGCGAATGAAGGCTGTACACTGGTGATCATTGCACAGGATTAAACCCCTTTGATAAAAACTTTCCTCTCTTTGCCTAGCTTTGCAGGTGCTGCCAGGCATAGCTGCAGTTTAAACACATCGACTCAGTGAAACCTCCCTGGCCAGAAGCAAACACCAGTGACTGGGGCTGCTCAGGTCTTCGCTCTCTGCCATCAGCAGAAGCAACGTGATTCTTCAGTGCTAAAAATGGAAGCCTGCAGTGCTGCCCTTGCAGGCCGGGGGGAAACCAGGTGCCCCCTTCTGCAGCAGCCATGGCAGGGAAAGCTCTGTCAATGTGGCCACAGGGGCACAGGGCTCAGCTGCTTGGTGTTTTTTGGGGAGGGGGAAGAAGAACGTGAGAGGAAGGAGCCAGCTGCACCTTGAAGGGTTAGCTGGAGGCACCGTTGTGGAAAGGTCTGGCTTCTGGAAAGACGTGCATAAGACACCAGATTCACAGTGGTCATGTGAAGCCTGAATTTTAACCCTCCTGGGCTGCGCAGGAGCCTGAGATCCTTGTAGACAAAGCAGAAAGAGACAAAGAGAAGGGAAGGCTCATTAGGTGTAGTTTCCCACTGAGGAAAGGGTGCAGGGAGGGATTTAAATAACTCTTCCAGCCTCACACAAGTTCCCTGTAGGTAAGCTGTCTCCATCAGGAACGCAGGGGCCGAGGCTGCCATACCAGGATGCTGCCTCGTGATTGCACAGGCACCTGTGCTCCCCAGCCCACAACTTGGGACGTGCCGCAGGAGCTCCAGTCCTGGTGGTTGAACCCTGGCTCTGAATTAGCACCATCACCTCCAAACAAAAATACCGCTGTCAATACCACCTGGTCGTGACAGGAAATAACTACTGGCATAAAAAGGAAAGTAATGAAAAGTAGGTCGAGGAGAGATATTTACCTGTCTGCCATGCAGCAGAGCCTTGGCAGGGACAAGAGGCAACAACCAAAGTCCCTTCAAAGCAGTGAAGGCCCTCACTCTGAACCTGAGCAGCACCCCAAAGCACAGCATCCCCTTGGCTTTGGGGTGTCTGCTAATGCTTTGTACCCAGGCAGGAGCACAGATCCTCTCGCTGAAATGCAGCCGCTCCGTTTCAGAGGCAAAATGATCTCACGGTGACCTTTCTTGTCAGGAGCACATGATAACTGCAACAGACTGGGGCAGCATGGGGTGAGGATGCTGGTAATGAAATGCTTTTATAGCTCGACACTCATTATCCCATTACATTATCAAGCTCTTCCCCAGGGGCCCTCTAAAGAGTCAAGGCTGAGCTCTTTTCCTGCAGAGACCAAAACCAGACCACCTAACAAGCCACATTTACTAAAATTCGCCCTCCCTCCCTGCCCAGAGGGAGCATGGTTTTGTTCATTTGCATCGAAGGGAAGTGGAAGAGCTGCACCAGCTCAGCTGTGATGTTGTCAGCCTGTGAGCCCACCCCAAGCAAACTGGTGTGCTTGTCCCCAGCATGCCTGAACTGCCCCACGACTGCTGTGGACTTACAAAGGCTGCTTCCTTATAAAAAACACCCTTTCCCCTTGATTGCTTCACTCCCTGCTATTTCTTCGCATACTCAGATCACTCCCCTGGTCTTCTCAGTTCTGCAGTGTGAAGTGGACGTCCCTGGCAGCAAGGCCCTCAATGGCAGCTGGCTGTGCAGAGTGAAGCCAGCAGCCCTGTGACAGCAAAGGCCTCTGGAAGAGCTCAGCTCTGCACCTGGGGATGAGCTGGTGGCCCGAGGGCATGCCCAGCGGCAGGAGATGTGTTCAGCCAGCGATACGCTCGGAGAGACATCACAGACTGCGGCTCAGCTTGGGGACATCATCCATCCGCCATATCCCCACAGACAACCCTCTCAGTCCAAGGTGAGGTGGTATTACAGGCGGCATTGTACAGAAGTGGAGGCACCAGGGATCTTGCCTTGGCTTTTACTAACCGTTCACAGCAGTGCTCAAAACACACACCAGGAACTCATCGTAAAGATGTGGAGAGAGACCCTGCCCTAAGGAGTGTGCCATTTGGAAAAGCAGAGACAGCCAAAGGGTGAGAGAAGGGAATAAACCACACAGGCAAAGCCGTTATAGCAAGAGTAGGCACGTGGAGTTGCACACACCCTGGGTTGGTAGGCGAAGCGCTTCCACCTTCACAGCACGGCAGATTTCCTCCTTGTCTGTCGTGTTTCCTTACAAGCTTCCTGCGCACTTGTCAGAGGAACAGGGGCTGCGAGTGAAGCAAGTCGTTCTGTGCACTGAACAAAGCGCAGGTATTCCAGCTCCACGCTGGATGTGTCTCTGACAGGCCGCAGTTTCTGCTTCATTTAGCTGAGCACCTTCCCTTTGGGAGCTCTCTACCAACGTGCTTGTGGCAGGAAACACCACATACAGAGGCTGGAGAGAAGCTTCCAAACAGGAGGCGTGACCTCTGAGTCCTCCTGTCCATCCCTGTCAGAGGGGTATTTGTGCATCGCCTGCCATTCCCCAGCTCTTCCCAGCTACCCGCTCTCACAATGAGAAATCCACGTGATTGCCAGACTTCTAACGCTCCATCAGGTTTGCTTGCAAGTAGCCGGCAGATTCAAAGGTTGGCAGGGACAGATGGGCAGACGAGAAGTGACAGACTCTTCGCTTCCTTAGGAAACCTGGCTAAAAATACATGTTCGGAGCCCAGCTTCTTTCCACAAAGATGCGCAGCCTCCCGTGAGGCCTGGCCAAGTCAGTGGACACAGGTGGTGGCAGCTGTGTGTCCTGGGTGACACCTCTGTCCCCTTTCAGCTGCCCTTGCCCTTCTCCCCACAGGTGCCTCATGTCCTGATGCTGGGCTCTGCCATGCCTGGAGGCCTTGCTCCGGGGCTGAGGCCTCTCCTGCAGTCTGCCAGGGAGGGCGATGAGAGCCGCCTTGCTGCCATGTTGCCAGTCACAAGGGGTGAAATGACACTAGGCTTGTGACTTCTCGGCCGAGCTAGACTTGAGCTGCACTTTTATCAGCAACATGTTCATCTATTTGTGAACTCTGAGTGTGTTTCTGTGGCCCAGAGGCTTGCAGGGCCAGGTGAGGGCAGTGCAGGAGAGTGTGTGCTGGGTTTGCTGCCTGAGGAGCCGGGGAGCAGCCCCACACCCCCAGGCAGCACCAATGCATCTGCCCACGCTTGGCCTGGGGGTTCCCCACCTTCCCCAGGGCCAGACCTTTGCTGGCAGGTGCTTAAACTGAGCAAGTTCATGCCATAAAGTTAAGGAAGATGAGAGAGGACGGACAAATGAAAAGCCGTGTATTTCTCTTTTAGCACCTCTCTTCTCCTCATTTTCTCCTGGAGTGTCAGAGCCTTAAATAAAAAGCCTTTTATTGCCTCCCTGCTCTCTGCATCCAGTCACAAATAGCGCATGCTGTAGCAACAAACGAAGGCCTCAGCTAGCAAGCTTTACCCTCACGGGTGTCACCTCTGTGTGCAGGCCTTTATCCTCCTTCCATCTCATTTCTCCTTTGCTGTCACATTCACTCCTGCCAGCTCAGAAAACGCTCGCCTTCTGCTCATAGAGATCAGAGGAGGTTGAGGGCAAACCCTGCTCCCGATGGGCTGCTGTTCAGCTTCCACCCCACCAAGAGTCTGGCTGGAGAAACCACATTACTAAATTCCAGTATCTTCGAGGTCATTTCTAAACCTGCAAACCACACCAGGAGCTCACAAGGTATTTCTTTGCCCCTGTGTCTCCCTGCAGCTGCGAGGAAAGTGGGCTAGAAAGAGATTTCCTGCAGGCCCTGGGGAGCCAGGCTGGCAGATCTCTGCTAATCACACAGCAAGCGCTAAAGCAGGGTCGCTGTTGTTGTTTTTAAATTTTATTTGCTTTTTTTTTTTTTGCAT